TTCCAGCTACTTGGACGGCTGAGGCGGAAGGATTGCCGGAGCCCAGCAGGTCAAGGCTGCGGTGGCCGGGAGCGGCCACTGCACTCTAATCTGGGTGACGGAGTGAGACTCCAACTCAAAAAAAAAAAAATGATCTTCCCTGCACCCTCTGCAGCTTCACCCTTTCAGTATAGACCATGTCAAATAAAATAATGAATGCAGAGTGCTATGCTGGTGGTGGGGGTTATCATCAGAATTACCTTAGGATCCTCACAGAACTGTCTATGTGTCCTGCTCTCCTGACCTGAGTCTTATTCCCTTTTCCTCCTTTCTGACTAAGACTGTGTAAGGAAAGGCACTGATTGTGCAGTTTGGAAAAGTTTCCCAATGATGCTTAGATTTTCACTGTGCTTAGATTATGACTTAGAATGTTATCACAGTTTTTTAAGAAGTACACTTTAAAAATAATTTGCAACTGGGCATGGTGGCTCACGCTTGTAATCCTAGCACTTTGGGAGACAAGAGGATTGCCTGAGTCCAAGGGTTTGACACCAGCCTGGGCAGCATGGCAAGACCTTGCTTCTGCAATAAATAAAAAAAATTAGTTGGACATAGGGGTGTGCACCTATGGTTCCAGCTACTTTTAAGACTGAGGCAGAAGGATCACCTGAGGCCAGTAGGTAGAGGCTGTGGTGGCCATGAGTGTGCCACTGTACTCCTGCCTGAGCAACAGAGTGAGACTCCTACTAAAATAAATAAAAATAGCCGGACTCAGTGGCTCAGCCTGTAATCCCATGCCCTTGGGAGGCTGAGGTGAGTGGATTGCCTGAGCCTGCAGATTTGAGACCCACCTGGGCAACTTGACAAGACCTCATCTCTACAATAAATCAAAAAATTAGCCGGACATGGTAGCGCATGCCTGTAGTTCCAGCTACTTGGAAGGCTGAGGCAAAAGGATTGCCGGAGCCCAACAGGTCGAGGCTGCAGTGGCCGGGAGCGGCCACTGCACTCCAGTCTGGGCGACAGAGTGAGACTCCAACTCAAAAATAAATAAATAAAAATAAATAAATAAAAATAATTTGCATTACGCTGGTAACATGAATTGACATTCTTGGCCATTGTCTGGAAGAATTAGGCAACCCAGGGAAAAAGCTTGGCTCCAGGGAATTCTAGTGTTAGTGGCCTTTGGGTAAAATTATTTAACTTGTGTCAGTATGTAGGATTCAGTGAGGGTTTTTAAAAAAATATTAAAAGCTTTTGTTTCTTCTTTATCTCCCCACCCCATTTAACATATTTTATTTGCTAATAGGTCAAGGAAATTAAGAAGACATCAACAGGCTTGGAAGTCAGCATGGTTACTGCAGTTCCTGGTAGGAAACCCACCTTGACCACAATTCCAGATGTTGACTGCCTGCTCTGGGCCATTGGGCGAGACCCAAATTCCAGCGGCCTGAATTTAAACAATTTGGTAAGCTGGCTTAGTCTGCCCAAAACATCCTTGAATCTGTTAGTAGCCTTGTGGTTTTATTCCCCTCTCCCTGTCCCAGATACCCAACACTTGGGTGGGTTCTATTAGAGTCTTTTCTCTATGTTCCATATTCCAGTTTGTCATCAAATTCCATTGCGGCTGGGTGCAGTGGCTCAGCCTGAAATTCCAGCACTTTGAGAGGCTGAGGCGAGAGGATTGCCTGAGCCTGGGGGTTTGAGACCAGCCTAGGCAACTCATCTCTACAATAAATCACAAAAACTAGCCGGGTGTGGTAGCATGCATCTGTAGTTCCAGCTACTTGGGAGGCTGAAGTGGAAGGACCGCCTTAACCCAGCAGGTCGAGACTGTAGTGGCCGTGAGTATGCCACTGCACTCCAGCCTGGGCAACAAGAGTGAGATTCCAATAAAAAAAAATTCCACTGCTTCTTCATTTGAAATTAAAAAACAAAAATGTTAGCTGGGCACAGTGGCTCACGCCTGTAGTCCCAGTACTTTGGGAGGCTGAGACAAGAGGATTGCCTGAGCCCACAGGTTTGAGACCAGCCTGGGCAGCATGGCAAGACCACATCTCTACAATAAATCAAAAAAATTAGCCGGCTGTGGTGGCACACACCTGAGGTTCCAGCTACTTGGAAGGCTGAGGCAGAAGGATCACCTGAGCTTAGCAGTTGGAGGCTGCGGTGGCCATGAGCATTCCACTGCACTCTAGCCTGGGCCACAGAATGAGACTCCGAATAAAAAAAAAGTTATCTTCCTTTCCTAGTGTCATCACCCTAGATCAGGTCCCTGCCCCTTCTGTTCTAGATTATCTGGCAGTTACCTGAATGAATTCCTTGCAGACTTCCTTTTGGCTCTGTAAATGTCCTTTTCAAGTTCTATGCTGATCCCTTATCGTTGTCTGTGGTATCTCATCCAGATGGTTGTGAGTGTCACTCTCCTGGACATTGTGGTACACGGGAATGGGAACAGATGGGAAGCTGTCTCTCACTCTCCTAGTGCTATACATGCAGGCAGTTGGCATTCTTTTTCTTTTTTTTTTTTTTGAGTTGGAGTCTCGCTCTGTTGCCCAGACTGGAGTGC